GGAAACTGCCCAGAAAAGATACATAACCACTTGGGCACAACAGACCTGCATCTGCTGAGGAATTAAGCATTCATCTTGCAGTCTGCTCCCATTATTTGGATTAAATTACATTTATGTATTTTTGTCTACTACCAAACAAGCAATTTCAGACTGAAATATACACCTTTGCCTATTTGCACCTTTGTTTGTAACTACATCACCTAAAATGAAAATTAAAAGGAAGCAGAAATAAACAGGAAAATACCCAACAGATGCTATTGCTATAGCAATAGGTCTTAAATGTCACAACAAATATTTTGGGTTTTAGGCAGACCTTATACATGCCCTTTTATAAACTATAACCACAAACAGCTTCTGGGCTGCACCTTCTAAATCTCAATGAACGTTCAGTCAGACACAACTTACTACCACCAGCAGGTCCCGCTGGCGTGACAAACACTATTGCATCAGTGAGGCAACATCACGAGCTACGCTGACAGTCACAGCCTTTGAAGGATTTTATTGCACATGGGGTTGCATTTTTAAAAGATGTAAGAATGGTGTGGCTCYCCTGATGATGATGACTCTTATCATTGAAATGCCTGTAGCACTGCCCAAGACTTATTTGTTGCTTTCATTAAGCAAAGAAAAACATAGTCCTCACTAATGCCTTGCTATTACACCATCAGACACCCAATGCAGTCACTCACCAGTCCCTTCCTTCTCTGTGATTCCACTGTATCAGAACAATCATCCAAATCTGGGCTACTTTCCTGTAAAACTGACATTGCCCACCGTTGCTGTGACAGGAGTCTGGCACACAGTTGCTCTCTCACATGCTGAAAACCAGTTTATCTTTTCTGAATCAGGATCAAAGGAAAGAAATCCAAACGAGCCTTACTGTCCATCCTGCATCCCTSAATGGCACACATGGAGTGGAGAGCGCATCAGGGACCAGATTGCTGTCGCCTCCTCCCCAAGGCCTGTTTTCCTGAYTGTTCTCTTGAAGACTGTTTCCTAATGAGCCATCGTGAACTCTTGCTTCTTCTTAAAAATKTACCTTACAGAACTACTCTAGTAACAAACAGAAGCTGCCGTTCTAAACAAGCTACTGCCATGTGAAACTCACCATCCATTTCAACTAAACCCGCCACAGTACAGCGCCATGGTTTCCAAACGGATTACTCCCGATGCTGAGGTCGCACCTGGCCGATGTTGCTATCGGACAGCAGCACCCACATGCCAGGTGCCCAGGGCCACCTCGGAAGCGACAGGGTCAGCTCCACTCGCTGTCCAGCTGCTCGCTGGCGGGCACGTCCCACCGCTACAACGCATTAGCAGATTACAGGACCACTGCAATCCACTGACAGGTCACAGGACCTCSACGGAACCGCTGGAGGCTCCGACTTTAAATTTCCTGCCTGGGGGACGCAACGCTGCTCCGAAAGGCCGCGGAGCAGACCTGTACCATGTACTTAGCTCGATATTATTTAACGTGTTTAGCTTCCCAATATTCAAAGCCCAGCGCTGGAAGGCGGCGAGGAGAGAGAGAGAGCCCTCCTCGCGTTTCCCGGCCGATGCCCACAGCTCCTGGGGACGCCGCTGCGGGACACGACCCTCCGCCCAGCCCTGGCCGGGGCCCCGCCGAAGGATGCGGGGCACCGCGCGGCCCTTGGGCGGCCGCGCCATCCCCGGGCCGGAGCCGAGGGGCCGAGCGGGCCAGGGACACCGGCGGGGCCGGGGAACGGCCGGCGGCGCGGCGCAGGCGGCGGCGGGATGGCATCCACCG